GTGGGCTAAGAGGAGGAAGACGCAGCCATAGCCGCTAGTTAGTTGTTAGTGTAGAAGATCCAGTAGCTGCCAAGTAGAAAGTTAGTATGTGTGTGTGTGTGTGTGTTCAGTGTGTGTGAGTGTGAGTGTTGGCGGGACATCCAGGGAGATCCACAATGCGTGCGTGTGAATAAGTTGCCAGGATATACGGATGATTATCGTTGTTGGCCGCTCATGCACCATAGCCATCCAAACAAGTTTGAATCTGAGTTGTATTCCTGGCTTCGTCTATCTCTGAGCTTTGTGTGGGCGAAGTGCGCCAGTCTGATCGTCATCTGTTTGCATGCATGCTGAGTGAAAAGAAGACAAGTCTGGTAGCAGATTGGTTGATTGTTGTGGGGGGCCGCCTCCCCTGGCGTGCACACGCGCGCGCACACACACACACACACACACACACACACACACACTCGCATGCGGAACTTCGTTCTTTTCTTTTCTTTTTTTGATTGGTTGATTGATTGATTGATTGATTGATTGATTGTTGCGGAGGGGTCTCCTCGCCCTTGCGTGCATGCACACAGATACACGCACACACAGTTTCCTGCGTCCTTTTTTTTTTTTTTTTTTTGTTTGATTGATTGATTGATAGTTGGGGTAGTTGGGGGGCGTCTCCTCTCCCGGCGTGCACACACACACACACACACACACGCTGCAGCACGACCCCACATCCAGAAAAAAAATCGCTACCAGATTCTTTTTGTTTTCTTTGTTTTCCTCTCTTTCTTCAGTTTTTAAAAAACTATTTAAATGCGAAGAAATAAAAATAAAATATGGGGTTGTAGATCTTTTCGAGCTCTACAACCCCACATTTATTTGATTTTATTTTTTTTTGCATTTTTTTGCCACAAAACCACAATTGTACGGACGTAAGATTCTGTACGACCTACAGGGAACTACACTTAACGCCTTATTCAGGGGTGAACTCCCCGGTACAGGACAACTACAAACCCAAGTTCGCAAATGCACGAGATACACGATTCTGGTGGACAGGAAAAGAAAAGGTCCCATTTGGTTCCTGAAGACTTGGACCCCCGACCCAACTTCCAGCAGGTGCTGCTCCCCACCAATAGACAGAGCCTCCCCCGGAGTGCTAGTGGTGCCTGCTCCTATCAGCACCCCTAGCACCAATCCGGGTTGCTCTGTTTAAGAAAAAAAAAAAAAAAAAAAAGACTTGGGAGACAAATAACCAACTAGCAAGCTGGATGAGAAGCAGAAAGTGCTTATGGGCCCGTGGTTGTGTAGGAAGCTGTAATACGGTAATCAGTAACCAAGCCGGGTAATGCTCCCCCTAATCAATAACCTGTTTCTCGGGGTAGACTGCGGTTCCCGGCCCCGCATGTGCTGCTCCTACATTCTATAAGGGACTCTGGGGCCGGTTCCCAGCATGTGCTGCTCCCCATAATTGCTCCGAGCCTCTATTCTGTTTGGAAAAATAATAATAATAATAATAAAATTTGGGGGCCAACCAAGACAACAAAGTGTATGGCTCTTTTGGTGGTTATTCATTGGATGGCTGCGAATAAAGGCCCAGTCTTTTGATGATTCTGTTTCTGTTCATGCTTCAAATGGGATGCTGGGCCCGGTTTTATTTTATTTTTTTTCTCCCCATAAATAGATCGGAGCTGTTACCACAGGTACCTCGTGTCCCCTCCTGTAACAGAACTGTAAGGTAAGTTTTAGTTTTTCTGGCGCCTGTTGTCTTCCAGAACAGGTACCGCGCCTCCCTTCCTGTAGTAGAACTGGAACTGGAAGGTAAGTTTTTTCTGGCACCTGTTACAATTGCCCCAGCCATTTTATTGGGTGCTCTCCTCCCACGCGCCCATGTTCAAAGGGCTCATTTCCCAGAACAGTGCCGGTTGCAACGGGCATACAGGATCAAATCATCAAAGCTGTGCTCCTCCCAGTTTCGGGGCCAAAATCGGACTCTTGAAGACTCTTGAAAACTTGTACCACTAGTGCTTTTACCATATACCGCAACTTTAGGAGGCCCGAGACGCAACAACTGGCAGCGACCCGGACCAAGAAGTGGCGGCGGAGCGACATCTCTGAAAAATAGTGGGAAACTTGGGGTCGGATCCCACACTAATAGACCGTAAAAGAAACGAAAAAGATGGAGGGGAAAGGAAAATTGCATCACACACACGATGACACACCTGTGCAAATGCTAGGAACTTTTACTATTCACAAGGTACCATTTGTTTCGGCAAATGTAGCATGCTAGCCAACCAGGACGAGGAGGAAATACACACACGCACACTGATAAGTAGGTGAAAGTCCGCCGAAACAGTCTGGTACAGTCATGCTTTTTTTGAGTGTATAGAGAATATGACAACACACACACACACACACACACACACACACACACACACACACACACACACACACACAAGGAAAACAACCTGTCATCTTTTTAGCGGCAGGGTACAGGTTTGCCACTCTCAGGATTTCCTTACTACTCTGGTGGCCACATTTGCGCGCTATGCACCACATCTACAAAGGTTTCCACTTTCATCCAATGGCAGTGCCGCCCCCTACTCATGCGGAAAACGATGGGATCCCGAAATTTGCCAGGAAGTACTTACTATTCTGTGTTTCTGGTTGTTGACCCCTTGTATGTACATCGAGTAAGGATTCTGAAGGAAGATTCGTTGCTAGTGAGACCTTGCCTCTTGCAGAGTCTTGTTTCTATGGTCAATGCAACGGCCTCCTAGGGGTCCACCTCCC